TTGGGTTGTGCTGTAGTTGAATAATAATTTAATGCCCCAATCATTACTATTCAAATAGGTTAAAAAAGACCCTAGAGAGGTTTCGTCTCCCTGCCAGATAAAAAATATATCGTCTATGTAACGACGATAGGCCACGAGGTTCGCGTTCCATTCACCTTCACTGTATATGAAATACTGTTCCCATAAAGCCATGAATAGATTAGCGTAACTCGGTGCGAACCTCGTGCCCATCGCCGTTCCACATATCTGTAAATAGAAGGAGTTATTAAACCAAAAATAGTTATTATTTAGTATCCATCTGATACTCCTAACTAGAAAATCTATTTGTCCATTAGGGAATGTTCCTGCTTCCTGTAAAAAATGCTCAGTGGCATGGCACCCCTTGTCGTGAGAAATGATGGTATATAATGAGCTCACGTCTGCTGTCACTAAAAGGCTACCTTCTTTCCACTGGTGATTAGTCAATACCTGAAGAATATTGGAGGTATCTTTTAAATAACTTGGACTCTTAATAACCACTGGTTGAAGGCATCTATCAACGTACTGGGATAGTCTGCTCGAAATCGAGCCTATCCCAGATACGATGGGTCTACCAGGGGGTTTTTGTTTGTCCTTGTGGATCTTAGGGAGGTGGTAAAAAACCGGTATTTTAGGTTGTATCACATTTAGAAATTTATATTCTCTCTCATTTAAAATATTAGATTTTCTTCCATCTTCTATCAAGCTCTCATATGTGGTTTTAAAGTCATTAGTGGGATCACTCTTTAAAATCTTGTATGTTTGTTCATCCCCTAGGAGTCTATATGCCTCTTTAATGTATTCCTCTTTATCTTGGATGACGATGCCCCCCCCTTTATCCGCTGGTTTTATTATCAGTGAGTCGTCCTGCCTTAATTCCTTTAGTGCTTTTCTCTCTCCAAAATTAAGGTTAAACTGTTTATGCTTAGGGTCCTTTATTTTCCCTATATCTTTCATTACCATTTTCTCAAAAGTTATCATCTCATCAGAGATACAAAACTTAGGGTAAAACAAAGATTTAGCTTTGAGTTCCGTGTGTACAGCTTCGGAATTTCCTATGCTTTCATTTGTCCTATTTATAGGGTTTTTTAGGAAGAATTTCTTTAAACACATATTTCTCTTGAACCTATTTAAGTCTACATAGACACTGAATTTGTCTAGTGCCTTTGTAGGCGCAAATTTTAGTCCTTTTTCCAATAGGTTCAATTGGGGATTGGTCAGAATCTTAGATGACAGATTAAAAATGCCTTTTCCTTTTATTCTCTGACTTTCTTTCCTTTTTTGTAGATGAACTCCTCCTCTATTTCCCCGTCCTCTATACTTCGTACTCTTTTCCCAGGAGTGTTTAGGCCAATTTTGTTGTCTTTGTGTCTGCTCCTCAAATGGTTCTCCCAAAAAACCTCCTCCTGATGATGACTATTCAGAGCACTAAATCTATTCTGGGTGGATAGTTCC